TCTTCGCATGCCTCTGTCCCCTATCGTTGCGAGTTGCATGAAAATCATTGCAGCGTGTAACACCTCTTGCAATGCATTATCAAAATCCTTTTTTAAACATTGCGAGACAAGTTGCATGAAAAATTGCACCGTGTAAGTACAGGGCCTTAAGTTCTTTGTATGTTTGCATGGCGATAAAATATATAATAGTTTTGTCTGTGGAAACACCACGTAAATTTATTACTGCAAAGCTTTCGATCCGTAAGCCCGGATCTTCATCAGTGCTAATAATATTAGCATTGATGAAGATCCGACCTTACGGATCGAAAGCTTTGCAGTAATAAATTTACGTGGCGTTTCCACAAACAAAACTATTAACAACAGATTAATTTCTAAAGGTCTCCTTTTTTTATGATACACCCTGTATATTGTTTATGTATGCATTGTCTGACCACGTCGCTCGTGGAAACCACATTTAGTAGCAGTTGAAGCTAACGTGTTTAAATAAAGTTTGTATGTATGTATCTAAATAAATTTCGGCTTGATAATGCTTCATTTCACGCTCAGCTTCATTCAATAATTGATAAATACATATCATGCAAGTCTAACATGGTGGCCATTAACACTGCAATTACATATATTTACAGACAGTGTCGCTAAAGACATTTCTAGGGTACAGTAGCAGGCCCGAATTCTACAATCAGTAATCAGAGGTTAATTACATCTTTTTACATATACTGATCAGTGCTATCAACATTCCAGATACAAATTTACAGATCAGTTAAGCTATACACATTTCCTATGTACAATCCCAGGCCCAAATTCTTCGTATTCAGATGACGTAATCCACATTGATTGGAAGTTAGATAACTTTGATAGCATAGCACCGCCTTGCCACGTCAGCGTATTTCGGTCCTCGACCGCGTTAATGTTGATGCTGTCTGGAGTCCTGGTACCTAACAGTTTACACAACTCGACGTGCAGACGACGAGAGAAGCCGGAAAACATTGTCGAGCCACCTTAAACACAAATTGACTCTAAATTTAAAACTCATAATTTTGGTCGGATACTTTCAAATAATCAAATTTTGGTCGGACACTTTTCCGCTAAATATTTGGACAATATGTCGGGTTGTGATTCAACAAGTTGTTATCAATATGTGTTCGTCCTAATTGTTCCCAGCGTGTTGACAACTTGCTACAAGGTTGTTGAATTCAACAGATTTGTTACAAGTTGTTCCAACAACTTGTTATCCAACAACTTGTTATCGTCCTGCAATTCAACAACTTGTTAACAGGTTGTAAGTCACAATCTTGTAACAATTTGATGTTTATCGTTACACCTGTTGACAGCGGCCGGACTCTAAAATCGCCCCCACCCCCAACTAATATTTCGCAAAGTGCCAGCCACTGCTTGTTGTCAAGCTCGCTACATGCCTGTTGCAAACAGTTTTTGTTGACAAGATGTGATATTTTTACGTGAGTACCTTCGGCGCCAGCAATCAATCTGAATACAATCCTACCTGAGATGACAATATTCTGAAACAGACTTGACCTCATATCAATAGGACATTGTAATGCAGTCTTATATATAACTTCGTGAACTCCGTCTGTTGCCATGCCAACCATTGATGGCGTGAACAATACCTCGGGACAACGGAATCGTTCACTGCCAATGGCTAGAGTTTGACCGTCTGGCATCTTGAATAAAAATAGAGAGAGAAAAAGTTATTTAAATGTCCGTCTAGAACATGTCGTAACAAGGTTGTTGTGAAGCCGATATCAGGATGTGTTCGCACTGCTTGTGTGACAAGTCTGGAACAAGTTGTTGTCACCTTGTTACAAGGTTGATGACGGCACCAGACTTGCTACAAGTTGTTCCAACGAGACTAATACAGGCTAGGTTCTTGGTAACAAGTTGCTACGAGCTTGTTGTCATCGACTTGTTAACAACTTGTTATACGTGCAGACGATATCAGACTTGAATTGAACGTGTGAATTGGCCGCGAGAGTTGAACAAGTCACATATTATTAGCACTGATGAAGATCCGGGCTTACGGATCGAAAGCTTTGCAGTAATAAATTTACGCGGTGTTCCCACAAACAAAAAGTATTATCTGTTTTATCGCCATGCAATCCTACAAAGAACTAACTAGATATCAGACTTGTTGGAACAACTTGTTGCGAGTCTGCTGGCCTCATCAACCTTGTTACAAGATGTTATAATTTGTTCCAGACTTGTCAACATCTGGGAACATGCAATGGCAACAGTGTAATTGCTCAAAACAAAATCCTTACAGTGTAAATGGTGTCATTCCTCTCTCCGATATTATACGCTCTTTTTTCACTATCGTAGTCCACTACGATATAACACAACTTCTCTTTAATATCCTGCACAATGTCCAGCTCGGCTTGGGTTTCCATGGTAACACCACGATCTCTGAGCATGCGTGATAGACACGTGGTTAGTTCATGACCTGCAAGTTCAGTTGTCGTGGTGGCGTGAGGTAGTGCATAACCTTCGTAGACTGGGACTGAGTGAGCCTTACTGTAGCCACAATCATAAACCAGTCCTAAATAAGATATAAGGAGAAATTACATCAAAAAGCATTACTGTAATAATTCATGAGTAATGTAACCATATCAATTAACCCATACTATGTCACAATGATGACAAAACAACCTTTTATAAACCTTTTCTCACTTACTTTTTTCAGGACAAAAAAGGAAAGTTAAGTGACCTTACGATTTTAGAACGGCAACGCGACGATGACGGCCAAAACAAACTCCTTCAAATAAATGGTATAGTAAAGATAATTCGTGGTATATTATCAATCGTATGAATTTAGTACAGACTTGGAAGTTGAAGACATGGGTTTTATGGTTGGGAAGAGTTCTACTGAACCCAGTTTGAAGTTGAACTTGTTGCGGCTTGAAATGCAGCCGTTGTATAAGACGTAAAAATCTGTGATTTGGCGTTGTAAACAGAGCGAGGACAATGTCTAAATTATTCATATATTGTAATTATTCAAATCTTTTCAATGATCTATTGTATTGGTAGCCGTTGCCTTCCTAAATCGTAAGGTCTCTTTAAGCTAACTTTATTTATGCTTTATCTTCAGTTCTAAACTGTTCTACCTGGAAGTGCATGAAGATCTTCTCATCATTGCTCCAGCGTTGTTACTAGACGGGGAGCAACCTTGCACATAAGCCTGAATCCACACTAGCAATTCTGTCTGCGATTTTGCTCCTCCGGGAGAGTGTGATTGAATGAATGACATGCAAAGAACATGGAATTGTTTACTTCTGAAAAGCGACTCTGTACTTTTGTGTGCGAGTGCACTCATTTGCATCCGTCAGAAACACAAGATCGCCGACAAATTGTTAGTGTGAATCAGGCTTTAGTCCCCCATGTACTAAGGCCCTTAAATACTGGTTTTCACTAGTCGGCGACACTCGTCAATAGAGACCTTAAGATTGACGTTTACGGCAAACGTCAAACCGCTAGCGCAGTTTTTGATTTTACAACTCTATTATTATAGCTTTTACACCAGTTTTGAAATATGTTAGACTTATTAAACTTGTGCTCTTTAGCAATGATTTAAGAAAGCAAATTAACCACAAATCATGCCATTCACC